ACAATCAAATAAAGGAATATCACTTCTTGAAGTTTGTAATACCTTTCAAAGCGAAAAAGGAGAAATAAAATTGATTTTACTTAATATAAAGCATTTTTTAATTGAAAAATTTGTTTTACACAAGTATCATTTTATTTCTCTTTTTCTCTGTCCCAAATTCAAGCAATTACGTATATAGTCAGGGACAGATCGCAAGATGACGGAAAACTATATAAAAGATTATATTAAATTTCAGGAAGTAAATGAAATACCATCGACCAGTCAAATTACAACTGTTGTTAAACAAACTGAATCGTTTTATGACAAATGGGGCGATGGTAATTCTGGTAATATGTCAATACCCGATGATGAATATTATAATTACATAAATAAAAATTAGATGAAACATTTAAGGTGGATAATTTGTTAGAGTGGTGGGCGGCTCATCAAAGCGAATTTCCAATTTGAGCAAAATTGACAATTCCTGCTTCAAGTGCAAGCTGTGAGCGGAATTTTTCCACTACGAGAATTCTTGAAGAAAGAAGAAGTAATCTTCAACCTGAAAAGGTAGATATACTTCTCTTTCTTCATGATAATTTGTGAATTTTTAATATCTTTCTTGAGTATAGGGTTTCGTCAATCATGCTGGTTTTTTACTTTGCAAACTGTTAAATATTTATTGCATTTATTATATTTACCTTGAGTCATGAAAGTTTTTAATCCAACATTTTTCATTATTTTTTTTTTACAATATTATATAATACAATTATCTTCTTTTGTTAAAAATTTATATTATAAAATAAATTATATTAATATTGTGCAATTAGATTATATTTTCAAAATACTATTTATTATACATGCATTTTTTTAAATAGCGATTTATTTTTATTTTATAAATTAAATAGTAAATTAAATACAATATATTATATCAAAATATTTCCCATTTTTATAAGTTAAATATTAGTTTTATTATTTTTAAATGCAATATAAAATATAGTATATGCTCAAAATATTATTACCATTTTTATGAATATTAGTTTTATATTTATAAATGCAATATAAAATATAGTATATGCTCAAAATATCCATTTTTATAAATAACAGTTTTATAATTTTTATAAATTCAATATAATATTCTCGAAATATTAGCTTTTTACATGTATTTTTTAAATAATAAGCGATAATACTCGCTGAAAAATATGGTAAAATACCTCATAGGTGAATTTTTGTATATACCAGGTCGAATATAATTTTAAAAAATTCCGAATTTTTTTTAAAGGGCCTAAAAAATTTAAAACCGGGCCGGGCCGTGCCGTGCAAATGGTACCTCTGCAGGTCTCTGACATAAACTATAGTAGTACTAAACATCCTGTTTTCGCCATTATTAGTGTTTAATGAGTAAATTAAAATTCCGTTATTTATTAGGTTAACCGTCATATCAAACAATTGTAATACGCAAAAATATTTAAACGATGAAATTTATATTATTCTTTAGGGCTTCCTTAGTAGAGGTTAGTGCTTTAATCATTTTTGAGCCGAATTTATAACCCCTCCTCTATGCCTCCCCCACCTTCACCTCCCAGGCCGTACTCATATACACCATAATAAGGTAGAACTAAGCTTATTTGATACCTATTCATTAACATATCAATATTTGGTGCTTAAATTATTCCTTATCACCATAGTAATAGCTTCTCCCATTGAGAAGTGATGTTTGGCGTGTTCCCTACTTAACAGATCTTTTAATTAGCTATCGATTGATACCCCTAATAACCATATATTTATATTCTTTAATATGGTTTAGGAAAAATAACTTAAAATGTATCAGTCTGTTGTGGGGTTTCGTGCTCATAGCTGGTTTGGTCAATTTCTAGACCTTAACACCGTGGGTTTTACACAACCAACTAATTAACAAAACTAATATAAGTAATCGAGTTTCAAAAAATATAAATTAATGTATTGAGTTCACGACCCAATTTCAGAACTCGAATCGGAAAAAATTAATCGAATTATTGCGCCTTCGACTCGGAGTTGGGAGAACTCGACTATTTGGCAACAATATTGTGCGAAAAATGACGCTTATTGCACTATAAAATTTTAAATTTTTTATATCTCAAAAACTATTTAAGGCATAAATTTCATTAAAATAAATTTAAATGAAAGATAATGCATTGCTCAGGCAGATATTTCTGAATATTATGCCTTGGCGGTTCAAGATGACATGCAAGAATTTCCTTTAAATAAATCGGAGCCATCCATCCTTTGTGAGGATTTATTACAAGACATGTAATAATTTAAATCATTTAAGTTACGTAATAATATTAAAATCCTTCATTCATAAAGCACCGTTCTTTTATTCCAAAAATATTTATAATCTACCTATTATATCCAATTTCTCAAGATAAAATTGAAACTGATTTTTATTCAAATTCAACATAATCGCAAATATTAACACATAACATTTCACTTGAATATTTATGCGAATCGAATATATTACAAAATATATCCATATCATAGGCGTAGCCAAGAGGGGGGGAAGGGGGCAAGGGGAAATCCCCCCCCCCTCCTTCAGAAATTTATCACTTTTTGTGAATATCATTTTAAGCTAATAAAAAATATCCCCCTTAGTCTTCCCCTCCCCACTCCCTGACCCCCAAAAATGTATGCATATAACTTAAACAATAATTTGAAAGAAAGAATGTAAAAATAAATATTTTTTTATAAAAATATATATCATAATTTATACATTTTTGGAAAAAAGCATTTATATATAAAAAAAATTGAACCAAAAAGGCTTTTTAAGAAATGAAATATTAGATAAGTCTTAATACAAATGTGAAATGTATTATAATTATTAATAATAGATCCATAAAATTACTAAATAATATAATATATCAAATATAATTTTTTATAAAGTGAGTAATTTTAATATATTTATCTTAGTGAAAGTAAAATATAATTATAAAACTATTGATAAAATTAAAACATAAATTAAATTAAAAAATTAACAGTGGAATATTATATGTCGTGGATTTACACTATATAGAATTTTATCAATTATCATATGGCAATCAAGTAATTTTTACCAATATAGCGAATTATATATTTTATAGAAAACTATAAAACATTGATAAGGACATCAGAAAATATCCTTTAAAGACATTGTGGGATAAATAATATGAAGATTAATTTTTAATATTTAATTTAAAGAAATAGATGGCGTTGAATAATTAAATGCAAATTGTTGCTATATTATTATCAAGAGCATTGATTAGTAAAATTTGTTAAAATATTAACTGTAATATATTCTCTAACTGTCAAATATGTCTGTAAAATAAAATTTTACCTGGTATTTTGTAACTAATTCTGTATAATAGAGGAATATCAACTATATGCCTACTCACTTTTTCTAAATAAATTTCTTATACTTGTTTGAAATAAATTATTACCATGCTTTTATATTAATGTATATACAAGTAATTTATTATATTTTATATAAACTAATAAAAATATATTTCATATTTGTTCTAGGCTTATTTTTTTATTAAAATTAACCTCTTATCTTGTAAAAATATTTTATGACTATATATAGAATAAGGTAACTGGGCCGAAGGCCCGCCCAAAAAGGGGACTGAGGGCGAAGCCCCCGGTAATTTTTTAATCCCCCCCCTTGGGAAAATCCTGGCTACGCCTATGATCCATATATAACACGTATCTATGACATTCAATAGTGGATGGACTTTTTAGGAAAAAAAATCGTAAAGAGGTGTTAAATATATATTAACTTATCTTGATTGCTTCGATATTAATTACATCCATCTTGACTATAATATTTAATAAAAAGAATCTAAAAAATAAAATTAAAATGAAGAATTATGGTAGTTGATCTGAATTAACCTAGCCTTAAATTGTTTATAAAATTTTTAAAAAATATATAATTCTTTCTATGTATTTAAAAAAATTTTAGAGTAATGAGTAATGTTTAGTGTTACCGTTATTCAGAAAAAAAAGAAACTTAATACTCGTTACCTTTTGAAACAAGTACCAAATAGTGCTTCCTTTTCTCAAAAAAATAACGCCGTTAGTAACGACGCTACTTTTTTCGATGTTACTTTACAGCACTAATTTTAATTAATAAAAAGTGATACCTCCCGCTAAATTTTCAAGCAATACATATCACTTTTTACTAATGCTCTAGTTAATACATAAATATAGGTGCAAATTTCTATAATTGCAATTTTGTGATTTGTCATAGATTTTAGCTATGGTTGCGTAATATTTGTTGATAGTTTGCAATTTTATATTACATTTAAATTGTTTATTTCATATTATTTTGTTATTTGGATGATTTAATTTTTATTTAACAAGAGACAGTTAATCTAATTTACATACAATTTACCTTCATATTAAGAAGAGAAACAAAATTACTTATATATATATATATATATATATATATACAGTTCAATAATATTAAGAATTCTTAGATTTTGACTTTGCTATTTTTTATACGCTAATATTTACTACAATAAAATTATTATCTATATACCTGTGTTTAATTACCTACCACATAGTATATTCTACCATATCGAACCCAATTCTCCCAAATCGAATCAACCCCAATCCCTACAATATTTATATCGATATACTACACCATTCCGCATTTCGCTGAAGGCCTATATAAATAAGGCCGAATTTATTTGAATAAAATATAATTACAGTTTCACTTGGATCAAAAATTTAAAAAAAAAATTTATAAAAGTTTCACATACATCCCTTCCCTAAAATATTACCATAAAATAAATACCTCTTTATTTTAATAATTATTATATAATATTATTGAAAATATCGAGCTCTAAATATAAAATGAGTATTAGTATTTAAAATACAAGTATTCGCAAAACTGCCCAAAGATATAATCACGTTTTTTTCATTTAATAAACGTGAAGATAACGTGTAACTGTAAATATCAGCTGATCTTCCCGCATAGATTTTTAAAAAATGTATGAAAGTTGATTGCATGATTTTTTTTTTAACTATAAAAATATGGAAACTATCAAAACCCTTATCAGATTGTCTCCCCATTGTAATATGGCACAAAGATATAGTAATTTGTAGATTTTATTGAATGTTTATAATATTAAATTAAGCTCATATAAATGTAAAAAATCCCATAGTTGAACTTGATGGTGATGAAATGACAAAAATTATATGGAAATCAATTAAAGATAAAGTAATTTGTGATATTAATTAAGTTTTAAATTTTATTTTAAGCTTATATTCCCCAATCTATCACTTAAATGTGAATATTTTGACCTAGGATTAGAAAATCGGGACAAAACCAATGATCAAGTTACTATTGATGCTGCTGAGGCAATTAAAAAATATAATGTTGGTATTAAATGTGCGACAATTACACCAGACGAAGATAGAGTTAAAGGTAAATAATTAGATAAAGAATCTTACTTATTGATCAAGAATTTAAATTAAAAAAAATGTGGCCAAGTCCTAATGGAACTATAAGAAATATTATTGGAGGCACTGTTTTTAGAGAACCTATTATTTGTAAAAACATTCCTAGACTTGTTTCAGGGTGGAACAAGCCAATTGTTATTGGAAGACATGCATTTGGTGACCAGGTTATTATATATATATAAATACAAAGCCCTGTAAATAATTTTTTCCTCTCACCTTGTCTGGCCAAAAAATTTTAAAATAATTTTTATCTTATCTTGTTCTAAATTTTGTTTACTTAGGATTAAGCATGCGTTCACCTTTATTTTTATTGGCCTGAATATGGCCAAAAGTTATTAAATAAAAAAGTAGTAATTAAAATATTTTTATTAAGTTAAATAAAATAACTTATTATTATTAATTTAAAATTTAAACTTATGCAAGGATAATTTTTTTTCTTAAAAAATTTAACCTGACCTGGCTTGATTTAATTTTTTTAAGCCTGAGTTAAACTTCATGCAACCTACTGGGCTCTAATATAGTATAATAAATCATTTATGTGATAGATTTATGAAAATTATATTTGATTATTTTTATATTCTGTGAAACATGTTTATGGCTATAAATGTTTATCTTGTTTATATATTTTAAGTTGTTGACTAAAATATTACATTTCGATAATTATATTATATTTTTTAACTTAACATTTGAATATAACAATAATTTATTATTTTATATAAAATTATTTTAAAGTATAAAGCTACTGATTTGGTAATATTAGAACCTGGTACATTGGAACTGGTATTTACTCCTGATAAATCGAAAAAACCTGAGAAATATAAAGTATTTTCATTTAACGGAAAAGGAGTTGGCTTAGCTATGTACAATACAGATGAGGTAAATTCACTCAATTTATTATTATTATTTAATAGTAATATACATATTTCATCCTAAGAAGTTGGTGTTAGTTATTAAAATATAATTTCAATTTAATTAATTATGTGAATAATCAATTGTGACATCCTGTGTACACTAAGTTTTATTTTTTTTAAAGTTGAAAATTCTGCACTTGCCATTGTTGGAGCAAAAGTTAAAATGAAAACCTTGATTTCTTTTACATATATGGTATTTGTCTTCTTTTCTTTATATGAAGACAATACTCCACTAAAAATTTTGCCACTTTTCCTAACAAATAATAACTTGAAAAAAATAGCATTAAATCAAAGCTATTGATAAATATTTAAATTTAATGCATAACATTAAAAATATAGAATAAAATAAATATTTTGAGTTTGATTTCTTTTAAATACATTTTCTTTAATTTGGGCTGTGGAGCCTTGGGCAGGCTAAGGCCCAAGTTTGTGTTTATACAGGTCTCTATACCTTACCTTCAATTTGAACAACAATTCTGCATCTACCTTAACCCTCCCCATATTTATTGGCTTTATTTGCAAATTATTTAAGTTTTGTATTGTTATGAATTATATCGTATCATTCATGTCACTACTGCGAAACTTTTTCCGCAAATGTTGATTACAGCAAAATGATATTATAGTTAATGCATTAGAGGTTGAGTATGAATAAATTTTAAATTCCAAGGCGTGACGGGCCTTCCCAAAATTTTCCGCGGGTTTGATCGGGCGTGAACATAAATTTCCCGTGATTCACGGAAATTTTAATTTTTTAAATTGTTTTTTATAAATATAAATTTGCAACTTTATAATAATATTATATATTTTCTTATTTAATTTAGTTCTTTTTTTAAAAAAAATTTATTAAAACTAAAGATCTTTCGCATTTTATAAACAACATCCGGTATCATTTTGTTAGTTCTATTTTCTTTTTATGTTTAGGTGTTTTTTATCGCGAGACTTTATGCTAAATTTTGCTTAAACTTTTTACAGAAAAGTCAGTTATATTTTATTTGTAAATATCTTCAATCTTTAAATGCAACAGAAAGTGAAGGATTTTACAAGCTAGGCCAAGAGATAAATGTTGGTGTTACATATGGATAACAAAATATAAAAGTTGTGAACAAGAAAACTCTCATGAATTATAGGTCCAAAAATATACCATGAAATAAAATTTAAGATTAAGAGCATGATCATTGTCCATAATCACTGATATTTGGACGGATGACTATAAAAATCTAAGTTTTTTAACCATTATAGGACATATTATCATTAAGGATTTTAATTAAAACATTTGTTTTGGCCATAAGGGCAATGGATGAAAAAAACGTCAAAATTAAAAGTGTAGTCAATTCAATTTTAGGAGAATATACAGAAGTAGAAAATTACTTAAATAAATGTATAATTGTGAGTAGTGTTGTTAAACGGCTCGTTTTGAGCCAATTTTTAAAAACGGCTAACTCAATACTCCATCCAGAAAAATATTACCCAAGCTGGAAGATTTTTCTTAGAAGGAGGGTCTACACATATATTATAGAAATCTTGAGGTTAGGGCAATATTTTTCTGGCTAAAATATTGAGTTAGCCGTTTTAAAAAATCTGCTCAAAACGAGCCTTTTAACAACACTAGTTGTGAGTGATAACCAAGAAAATCTTATAAATGCATTCAAAGATGAGGAAACGCTAGCATATATATACCATATACTAAATAATATTATGCATTATATTTTTGACAATTGTTTAACTGAAATAGCCTTAAATATAAATGGTGTAAAAAAATAATACAATATTTCAAACACAGCTAATAGCAAACTAAGCCACACCCTTAAACAATATGTAATAACGAGATGGAACTCTGTATATATCATGATACAGAGTTTCTTAAAATCATATTCTGAAATGCAGGTTAACTTGTTTAGCAAGCAAGAATTAAATAGATTAGCCACAATCGATATCAGCATCATACGCGAGTTAGATAAATTTTTATCAGTATTTAAAGAATGCTCGGATAATCTGAGAGTAGATTCTCGTCCCACAATAAATAAAGTTTGTCTATGGAAACAAAAATTAATAAAATTTTGTTAACCTTCTGAACATGATACAATAATAATCAAAACCTTAAAATACAGAACAAGATTTTATTTAAAAGATTATTATGCAGCCACTATAGTAGGCTTAATTCTAGATCCAAATTTCAAAAGACTTAAGATTTTAATAAAAGAAGAAAATGATATATATAAAACAATCTTAAAAATGCTAAATGACATAAAATTAGATGATATGCATAAGTCGATGCCAACTACCATTTATAACTTTCCTAACTTATCCTAAACTTATAAAAAACAGTATATTCTAAATGATCAATACCAACTATCACTTTCCTAATTCATCCTACACTCATAAAAACCGTATATTTCTAGATGATTCTGATGAAGCATCAACATCACCGATGAAAGCTGTGAGGATGAACTTAAAAGATTCATATAAGATAAATAACAAGACAATATTTTGAAGTTTTGGAAGCAGGAATATTCATTTCCTTTTTTGAGAAAATTATCGAGTAAAATTTTGTCAGCTGCAAGTTCAGCTTCTAGTGAAAGGTTATTTTCTGTAGCCAATCTCTTACTAGAGGAAAGACGTACACAGGACATTCTTCTTTTTCCAAATAAATTTCGATTTATAGATAGTATTTATTTTTTGTTATTAATATGGATTAGAAATTAGAGAAATAAGTAGAATGAATTCAAAAAAGTGTAAAATTATAGCAATAGTTTTGAAAAAAAACACCGTGAATTTTCGGGCGTGAATCAAAATATTGCTTGTCGTGAGCGGGCGGGTCTGGTCGAAAATTTTTTAGTGTTAAGCGTGAATGGGCGTGATATTTTTAAATACCACCTTGAGCAGGTGGGCCGTGAATGAAAAATTAGGCCCGCGCCCACCTCTATAATGCATCATAGTGAAAACAGTATCGCCAATGCATTATCATGTATGCAATAGTGATTTATATTTGACAAATGGTTGATATAATTAATAGAAGTATTAAAGTTCTTTGCTACTTATCCACTTACCTTCTAATAAAGAGTTCATCATTAATATGTTTTTATTTTTTAAATATATCAGAAACCATAAATTTGTTACCTTTTGGAAGTTCCTGGCCAATAATATTTTTCCACCGGATTCTATTTCTCTAAGGTAATTCTTTAGACTCCCTAATTATTAGGGGTGTGTACCGATACCACTTTTTGGAGGCCGATCCGATCCGATATTCCCGATTTTAAATTGATATCGGCCGATTACCTATCCGATATCATATCTAATTTTGTATTCTGTAAAGATACCAATGGTTTTAATTTTAATATACTTTTTATTAATAAAACATCTATAATTTATACCATAACTTATGTCATTTAAATGTATTATAATGATAGTTATAGTTTATATTCATGAATCACTTTTATATAATAAGTAATAACATTAATCTATATACGTAATAAGTAATAAACAAATATCTTTTGATATATCAAAATTTCCAATTTATCAGAGGTCAGTCTGCGACGATGGTAACTGTCAATATCACCAGCTTCACTAAAAACAGATTCTGAAGAGATTATAGATATTAATTTAAATATTTATTTCAAATTTCATAATATATTTGATTATTACTTATTATGTAAATAGATTAATGTTATTATTTATTATATAAATAAGTGCTTTTTTAATAAAAAATATTTTATAAGATGTTATACTAATAGAAAGTATATTAAAAATTAAAACCATTGGTATCTTTACAGAATGCATAATTAGATACGATATCGGGCCGAAAAGTGGTATCGGTCATTCCCCTGAAATATTCGCAGAAATTTTAACAATTTTTTTAATATTTAAATATAAAATAAAAAATCCGATAGCACACGAATAAAAAAGCAGGATTAAAGGAGTGCAGGAAAATTATTAAGGGAAAAATCGAAAATCACATTAATTACCAGGCCTAAGATTCTTTTATGTAATTGTCATTATCTTAAATTATTTTAAAAAACCAGAGATAAACAAAATTATAGTTTTTTCGAAGATCAAAATTTTGCTAAAAATTTATAATTTCAACTTGAAAAGATGTTTAAGAAAGAATACCCAAATATATCATCAATTGGATTCTCTAAATTTTCCGAACTAAGACCAAAAAACTGTATTGGAGCTAGTGGCACACACTTTTATGTCTGCGCCATTCATCAGAATGTGAAATTAATGACAAATGTAATAGCTGAAATCACAGCAGGAGAAGACTACTATATAAATTCTTGTAACTGTCTTTTGGCCCAAATTAGTTGTAATCCCTCTCAGCCAAAATGTTATTTAACAAATTTTTATCAATGCCCTGGTATAGAATCTCTGGCCAATTATACCAATTGTTTCAGAGAAATCGTATAGAATATGTTACGTTTAAACAATGGATCACGGTGGATAGAGCAAATCTTGAAACTATTATAAAGTCCATTGTTGATTTCGTCGATTATCTATTAGAAAAAGTCAAATTTTACTGCGTCACTCGTTTATAGGTAAACAACAAACTTTATTTTTGAAGAATTCCAAAGAAAATTTAAAAGATGGGGAATTTTTAACAATTCTAAATTATTCCTTTATTTTACAAGATGGATTTCAGGATTTCATTGGAACAAAGTGCAGGCCACTATACACCCATTTGTAGCATATTATAAATCTGGAGAAGATTTAAAAAATATAAATTTTGTTATTATATCCGAATCATTAAACCATAATACTAGTGCAGTCCACCTTTATCAATAAATTTTTATTAATTTCTTAACAGCCAAATTGAATTCTAAACCAGAAAAAAAAATTTTTTCAGATGGAGCCGCGTCTCAATACATGAAACGCAAAAATTTTCTGAACATATGCCTTCATAAATACGATTTTAATATTCCTGCTGAATGGCATTTCTTTGACACTGCTCACGGCAAAAATGTATGTGACAATAGGAACTGTCAATAGATTAGTTGCCAGAGCTAGTCTTCAAAGGCCAAAATAAATCAAATCCTAACCCCATTAGAATTATATAATTATGCTAAAGAAAATATTAATGGAATTCAATTTGAATATATATCCAATCTAGAATATATTGAAGGATAATTAGCCCCTCGTAAAAGATTTAATTCTGCACTGCCCATCCTTGGGACCCAAAAAATTCACGGGTTATTCCCATTGATCAAAATAGACTAAAAACCAAAATATATTCAAATTCCAAAGAATTTAATATAAAACAAGTTTCGTTTTTAAATGAGAAAATTATATTTAAAAATATTAACGGATATGTAACATGTGTATATGATGACAAATGGTGGTTAGGATTTATAATCGATAAAAATGATACAAATGAAGAAGTAAAAATCCTATTTTTACACCCTTGTGGACCTTCAGCCTCATTTAAATTTCCTCTGATAGATGATATTTTAGTGTTGCTTAAATCTCATATTTTCTCGCTGGTCAACTCACACCTGTTAAACATATATTATCTCTGAAGAAATCTCACAAGCTAACCAGGCTTTGTATTTCTTTAGATGAAGTAAGATTTAATTAATTTATAAACTATCTTAATTAGGCAAAATTTGTGAAGATTTTAAAAATTTCATGATCTGAATTACAAATAAATATATATAATGCACATTGTAATCGATTTAGTATGATATATATACATTAAAATATTTTTAATCAATAAAAAAATGAATTTTTATTAAAACTATTATATATATATAGCGCCATCTATTTTTTTTAAAGTATAGAAATCGCAATATTTTTTTAAAATAAATATCTAGCCATGCATTGTTGAAGAAATTATTAAAAAAATAGTAAACGGATAATATTTCTTAAAAAGATTAAAAATTGGAGATCATATTCATTTCGATATATTATTTTCAAATTTTCTATTGACCATAATATGACCCATATTTAATAAAAATTAATTTTGATCTTTTCGCCATAATTATCAATTATTGACTTAGCTATTGATATTAGATTCAATATTTGATCATATTTGGTTTTAAATTAAAAACTAATTATTTAAAAAGGAAAAAAAGACGTTTTTTGGACCTTTAACCCCTATTATCTCAATATAGTTGCTAATGCGCTAAAATTTTGTTTATGATCAATGTGAACATATATAATTAGACTACAATTTTTTATCGAAATCAAAGGGGTCGGCCGAAAAGTGATTGATTTGACATGGAGTGACCCTTTAGCCTTTAATTAAGTATATAAGCTAGTGCACTATAGATATTCATATTGAATTTTATGTAATACAAACTATGTTTATTTGAATATAAAATTAAATATAACAAAAATCGAATATTTTTCTTTCTACAGAAGAGAGCCTCAAGTCTATGTAATAATAAGATTCTCATACAGGCGCGTAACCAATGGGGGGGGGGGTGATTCCCAATGAGGGGAGGGGGGTGATTCCCCCCCCTCTCATCGCAAATTTGACTGTTTTTATAAATATCATTTTAAGCTAATAAAAATTTTACTCTCCCCCCCCCAATCAAAATTTTACAAATATTTGAATATCAATTTCTCAACATAAAACTTATTTTTTATAAATAAAATTTCCTTTTCCTTTCCTTGTGAGTACATTAACATTATTCAAAAATATTAATAAAATGGAAAAATTTTAAGTCAAAGAGATTGAAATCAAATGGTAATTTAGTTTATTATATATAATTATTTTATTAAATTCAAAATTATTAGTAAGTTAGAATTAATAAGTATTTTTAATATTAATTATTAATAATAATAATTTTTTTAATATTTTATTTTTACTTCGATTTTGTAGAACAGAAGAAATAGAAATACAAAAGTTAAATAAGGCTGAGCCTGAAAAAAGGTAATGTGTAGTCAGAAGCGATATCATTATTGAATTCTATTGATCATTCAGAGTTTTTGCTAGTTGCACAATAAATTATTTTCCTATAGCTCACTACTTTGTAGAAATTTAAAAAAACCAAATTTAGATAAGGTTCAGGTTATTGATTTGTCGGAAAATATATATGAACAGGTAGATACAATAAGAATGAATGTAGATGAATATTTTCAATATTTATATAGACTTTGAATCGAAGGCTAAATTTTATGATATAACACTAATTAAACCTCGTCTAGCACCTGGGCAATTATTGAGATGTAAAATAAATATTGGCTCAACTGAAGAATATTATAAAATATCCACTTTCATCCCATTCTTAGATACTTTTTTATCGCAAATAAAAGTACGGTTTTTAGATAAAAAACAAGTCTTTAGCAATCTTCAAGTTTTAATACCCAAAGATCCATCTTCGTTTTCTAATGCCACTATTTAAAATTAAATATTTAGCAAAATTTTATTCCTATGATATTGATACTGAAATAAATTTAATCAGTGAATTCGAATTGTGGTATAAATATTTACTACGTTTAGCTATTTTATCTGGGCATGTTATTGATGCGCTCAATCGGTGTAAAGAAACCTTGCCTCAAATTCCTAATATTTTGAAGTTGTTTTATATTCTACCACGTTTGCCTATTATAACATGTACGAATGAAAGGACTTTCCAACTTAAGAAGGTTGAAAACATATTTATGAAGTACTACTTCCGAATCTCGGCTAAATGGGTTAGCTCTGTTAAATATCCACAGAGATTTGGTTCCAACGACAAACAAAATTCTTGATGAATTGGCAACATTCCCACGAAAATTAAAAATCACATTATAATTATAGTATTTAATAAAAAAATTTGTATAATACTGTATTTGATAAGAAGTTTAAAAGAACTTGTTTTTTAAATTATTTTCTAGTCAATATTTTAAAATTATTTTCTAGTCAATATTTTAAAGTTTTGTTAAACGCCTCGTTTTGAGCCGATTTTTAAAAACGGCTAACTTCGTTATTTATCCAGAAAAATATTATGCAAGCCTGAAAATTTTGCTCATAGTAGCAAAGGTCTAGACATATAGTATCGAAATTTCGAGGCTTAGTTAATATTTTTCTGGCGAAAATATTGAGTTAGCCGTTTTTAAAAATCGTCTCAAAACGAGCCCTTTAACAACATTAATATTTTATACACACTACTATTAGTATTTTCAATAATAAATTATATTATACTTATATTGTATGAGAATTTAAGCTGAGGCTAGTTTTTAAAGCAAATTTTATAAAAAAAATGACAGGTTTGGGGGCGAAGCCCCCAGAAAAATTCCCCTCCTCCCCCATAAGAAAATCCTGGATACGCCACTGTTCTCATATAAGGACTACTTATATCATCAGCTGTGCTGAATACTAATTCTGATAAGGCACTTGTTCCAGGAGATGCCAAATACTTACATGCAAGGTTTTCCAAAGTTAAAAACCTTTGAGCATTAACTCTCCAATAATCAAGAGGATCGATCGAATATAAAATATTGATATCTTTTAATTTTTGAAATTTAAATTCGCGTGATTTTTATTTAATATAAGTTCTTTCTTTGTAAAATACAAGGCAAATAAAAATACACAAAAATTTTGGGTAAATATATTTTATAACCTTACTGCTTCTAACTTTAAAAAATGTAGTTAATTTTATAAGATACATTTTTATGGGAATTATGGAGATTTATTACAAGGAAGGGATAATTAGTTCAAAAATAAAATAAAAATATGTATAAAATCGGTATCAATTAAAAAAAAATTTAAAAATGTAAAATTTTAATATTGGTATCGTTATAGCTCTAATTATATAGTTTACAATTTCTATATTTCAGTTTATTATACATTATGGTTTCAGAGTATTCGCAGCTTTGCACATTCAAGCTTTCAATATGCCTTATCTAAGAAATGGCCTTTGTATATGAGTACCAAAAATACTATTCTGAAAAAATATGATGGAAGATTTAAAGATATTTTTCAAGAAATATATGAAAAGTATTATTCATGATAAGATTTTAAATTATTTTTAGTGGATTGGCAGATTCGCATACTTTTAAAAAGTGGGGATGTGCTGATATTAAATATCGGATCGGACTGATATTTAAAAGACCGATCCAATATTTTCATTGCTATTTGGTGTATTCTGATTTTATATAAAATTAATATTTTTTCATTCATAATTTCATAATAAATTTATAAAAGGAATAAATTTAATTTGTAATATTTAAAAAAATCGATTATTTTAAAAGATATAATAGCTAAGAATTTGTATTTTTGTTATATCTGCAACAAGAAAAGGAATTTAAAATATCTGCTAACGACAACGAGTCACATTAATCTTGTTTATATTTTTCCCATAGACAATAAAGATAAAATTATACAAATATAAAGATAAGTCCTTTTTTATACTAATTTTTTATTTATTTTTAACAATAGATTTTCAAAATGATAAAGGAGCGCTTAGTGCTCAACACGCCTTTCGCTGTAACACTTTCAACTGGTGCAGAGGATGGGAGGGTTGTATTCTATTTAATAAATTAAAATTTAAGAATGATTTTTAAAAAACTTATTAGTTCTTCATTACAAGTCTACATTCAGATCCTTATAAAAAAAATTTATCTTTATCTGAATTTAATCTGGCATTTGTGTTATTTAAAGAAATCGAATCTGATTTTTGTTTTTATTTGTCAAAATCTTTTCCAAACTGAAAATAAGACGCCCTTAATTTTTTTTAAATTAGCATCTTTATTTAAATATTTCAAATATACTATTTTGTAAAAAAATGTTTTGTACTGGAGGGGGGGGGGGGGGGTTAAATCATTATTATCTGAAGAAATAGTACTATTGATATATATTCTTTATATAATAAATGAAGATTATAAATTTATATACCTTAATTAATTCAATATTAATTAGATTAACAATCGTGACTATAAAATTAGTCAAAAATATAAATTAAATAAAAATGAAGAACATTGGTGGTTGATCTAAATTAATATTCGACTTAATTTTTCATATTTGTTATGAATAAATTTAAAGTAATGAGTTACGTTTTGCCTTACCGTTATTCAAAAAAAGAAAAGCGTTATTTGTTATTTTTCCTCCTAATTTTATTAAATTCAGTCTTGGGTCGCGAAAAATCACTTATCAGGGCTCTATAAGCAACCTTTATAGCACTACTTATTAAGGATTAAAAACTAATTTGGGAAAGTTAGTTGATTTTTTTTGAATAGAAAATATTAATTTTTATGAAATTGATTCAAGATTAATGGTAATAATTTGAAACATTACTCTACTACCTTCACTTTTTTATAATTTAATATAATAAAACCTAAAATAATATTCAAAAAGTCCTATATCTGACTCAGCGTTTTCATGATTTGGGAGGGAAGGGGGGTACGAACAGTTTGCATCTAATTTTTCTTAGAAGGAATAGGGGGTAAGCGCTTTTAAGTGAGTTAGGATATATTGGAGGGTTATCTATTATATTTTTAGATGAAATAGGACAAAATATATCCGAAAATTAATACTTTTATTATAGACCTATTATAATACAATGATATTGCTAATCATCGACCAAATCTATATATTGCAATAATCATGAACATTATAAATTACATTTAAAAGGGTTAGATATTCTCAGCAAACTCATATTCATGCCAAGCAATATGCTATAATAATGCATTTATTTAAATGAGGGGGTTTTTAATTCAATTAATGATACACTTTAATATTCACAATATTTTGATAGTTGGTAGTAGAGCTAAAATAATTTAAGTCATTCTTTTTAAAATGTATGAAAGATTCATTTTAATTAAAATATGTAATGATAAGAAAACGCTGATGGATTTTTTTTTTGGGGGGGGGGCTTGCATCCAGTGAAAATCCTGTCATGTCGACGCTGATCTGACTGAACAACCTGTTTAGATTGCTAAACCTATTCGACATATAATAAATAATAAACTATTTCACTCAACCATTTTTTTGTCAAACAGGTATCCCTACTCGTCTCTACATATTTGAAATTTTATAATTTCATCCTGAAACTTCAATCTTTCTCTTTTGATCAATAAGTATCTCATTGATTACTAAATTTTTAAACACTATATACAACTAAAAGAAAAATTGCAAAAACGAATCGTAAGCTCAATTCAGTTGGGTTCAATTAAGTTTGGAACCTAAATCTTTATAAAGAATGTGAGGACAGGATTAGGTGAACGAGATTCAGATGCTGTCTGAACCTGGTTCACAGTTCCGGGTTCGATTTGAGATGGTTTCCACTTTAGCGAAGAAGTTACGTTACTCCATTATTTATTGATGGGGCCATACACAACCTCTTTAAAACTAGGGCTGAGCCGACACATATTTTTCACCGATTCTATATTTATGTTTTTTATTTGCTATCTATCTTTGAGTTAAATGTCCTAAAGATTTTCTATTTTAAAAAAAACAAACTAACTTTCACGGATTATTAAGTTTTTTGTTATTCTCCAAAATTAAATAATCTCATTTAAAATATTTGCAATGTTCATGGGTGAATATAGTTTTAAACTTTTCAATTTACCCAATTTTTAAAAAGTGCTAAAACGAGATTTTGGTCAAAATATTATTACCCACGCCTCAAAATTTTGCCAATAAAAGTCTAAACCTTTCTGCCATCTGTGGGCAAAATAAATCTTGAGTTAGTTTTGGCCAAAATCTTGTGTTAATGTTTTTAGAAATTGGCTAATTGAGTCGTTCATTAGCTGAATGTTTCTCGTCACATATTTTAAAATTCTTTTCTTATCAAAGATAATATGAATGTATTATACAATTTTTAACAATCAAGAATAAATTATATTTTAGTTCCTTTTATTAATTTATTATGAAATTATTTATAAAATAAATATAATTATATATACACAATCATAAAATAACCCTAAAGAATAAAAATATCGGATCGATTTGTAAAAAAATTTCAGCTCGATTCGATATTTTTTAATTTTATTGGTGCCGATCCTATACTTAATATCGGCATAGCCTTCTTAAAACTCTTCTAAATTTGAAAAAGATATTCAACCATAAAAATTTAACCCGTCTTAAGCTTTATAAAAAAAAAATTAGATCATCTGTTCAAATAATAAAATAGCCAATCCTTTAAATATATTGATATTTTGATATTTAATAAATATGACACCAAAAATTAAATTACTTTAAACTGATTAGTCTAATTTCAAAATTCTACTTTTCTATCTGTTCACCTCTTTAAAAAATGTTTATTTTCAGAGACTATCATGCATCTTTCCAATCGGCCGGTATCTGGTATGAACATCGTTTAATAGATGACATGGTAGCTCAGGCTATAAAATCTTCTGGAGGGTTTGTATGGGCTTGTAAGAACTATGACGGTGACGTGCAATCAGACGTGGTCGCCCAAGGGTTTGGCTCGCTTGGCCTCATGACCTCTTTATTGCTGGCACCTGACGGGAGAACTGTCGAATCTGAAGCGGCCCACGGAACAGTAACCAGGCATTACCGGGAACATCAGAAGGTTGAATAGCTTATATAACCTATAATCGTTTTTGGGGTCTTGGGCAAGAGAACAATTCGAGTTAATTTAAATTAGTGGAATAACTTAAATTTATAAATATCAAGGATTCAAACGGTCATAGCTTATCTTGATTAGGGTTAAGTAAATTTCAAAAAATGTTTTCGAATATAAATAAATTTCAAAAATGATTATAAATTTAACGTTATAATTTTATTGCATAAATATTTCCCATATTTTAATTCTTTTTAATCTACAATAATTTTATGAAATATTATAATGTTTTATAATAGGGTAATCCAACTAGCACTAATCCAATAGCAAGCATATTCGCTTGGACGAAAGGTCTAGAACACCGTGCAAAATTGGATGGCAATGATAAGCTAAAAAAGTAATTATGTGAGATATTTAACTATATACTATTGCCCTAATAAAAAAACTACTACTTCATTATACATTATTTTTAAAATTGAAAAAACACTCGGACCTTATATAGCAAGAATGAAAACACTTTCCTCTAGTCATATCAGAATTTTCATAGAATTAAAAAGATTTTTCTTGAAAGACCCGAATTATTCTAACAAAGTTAATTGAATGTTGACAAGTCTGAAGCTATTTTATTCTACATATTTTAAATTTATCTGAAAATATGCTTTTGTATAAGAACGATGCCTTACTATTCTTTTATCTAACGATTATTTTGGAGATTTTGATAAATGCGAGTATCCCCGTTTTACATATATATTGTTTAAAGTCAAAGCTTCATGAAGACTATTTCACTACTTTTATTATATTATCTAGCAACTAATTTTTGTCGGTTATGATGAATGACATGGGACTCTTTTTAAAATGCGTATTTCTAAGCAGAAAATAACATTTGGTAAAAATACTAGGTCATTTCTTAGTTTAAGGATAAAATGCCACAAATAAAGCACAACCATTTAAACCTTTTGTAATAATTGAATCCTAGATAATTGCACTTTTAGGATGATGCAGCTCCTTTTTTCAATTACATTTACGAGATTAATGATTAATATATTATCTCAAATCAGATTTAATCGCTAAATATTTCAAAGTTAAATTGCGCTTATTTGTCCAATTAAGTTTTTTCTTCCTGAAGGTATTTCTAATGTTGAACAGCTAAGCTGAGTCGACTTAGCTGCGACTCGAGCTTAGTTTCTAGTTGATAAAACGACTTTGACTCGAGTCGACTAAATGAGCCGCATTGGTCGGCTCGTGTAAGTTGACTCGTTGAATCTGCTCAATTTTTTGTTTTTTTATAAAATCTGGTAAATTGCTAAATTTTGGGTTACTGATTAATTTGAACAAAATTTTAATAAGAATATTCATGTCGTAACTAAAAATGGCTCAGGACTTGAATTCGGCTTCAGGGATTATATACCTAATTTTTATAACACAAAAATGTAAAAATATAATTTATATTGTAAAGATGTTAAATTAAAATTTCAGTGAAGATGTACCCTAGATAAGCAACAATTGCCATAATCGTTATTTTTAAAGATTTTTGAAATTTACGCAAGTGGGTAATCTAGATTGTAAATATGTTATATTAAAATTTTAGTGAAGATGTACCATAGATAAGTAACAATTGCCATAATCGTTGTTTTTAAATTTTTTTGACTTATAAACGGGCTAAAATAAATATTGCTAACATGTTTAAATAAAACTTCAGTGAAAATGTACCCTAGATAAGTGATAATTGTCATAATCATTGTTTTTAAAATTTTTTTAATTTTTTTGACATAAATGGGCTAAAATAAGTATTGCTAACATGTTTAAATAAAATTTCAGTGGAGATGTACTCTATATAAGTATCAATTGTCATAATCGTTGTTTTTAAAGTTTTTTTGACGTAAATGGGCTTAAATAAATATTGCTAACATGTTTAAATAAAATTTCAGTAAAGATGTACCCTAGATAAATGACAATTGTCATAATCGTTATTTTTAAAGATTTTTGAAATTTTTTGATGCAAGTGGGTAAAAATCTAGATTGTAAATATGTTATATTAAAATTTTAGTGAAGATGTACCATAGATAAGTGACAATTGTCATAATCATTGTTTTAAGTCGTAAATGGGCTAAAATAAATATTGCTAACATGTTAAAATAAAACTTCAGTGAAGATGTACCCTAGATAAGTGACAATTGTCATAATCGTTGTTTTTAAAGTTTTTTAATTTTTTTGACGTAAATGGGCTAAAATAAATATTGCTAACATGTTTAAATAAAATTTCAGTGAAGATGTACCCTAGATAAGTGACATTTGTCATAATCGTTGTTTTTAAAGTTTTTTTAATTTTTTTGACGTAAATGGGCAAAAATAAATATTTCTAACATGTTTAAATAAAATTTAAGTGAAGATGTACTCTAGATAAGTGTCAATTGTCTTAATCGTTTTTTTTAAGATTTTTGAAATTTTTTGACGCAAGTGAATAAAAATTTAGATTGTAAATGTGTTATATTAAAATTTTAGTGAAGATGTACCATAGATAAGTGACAATTGTCATAATCGTTATTTTTAAATTTTGGACTTAAAAGAGGTCATCAAAAAATTTCAATAATCTTAAAAAATAACGAATATGACAATTGTCAGATTAAAATATTATCATTACAATGATCATATAAAATAACATAAAAGTTTAATATAATTATTTTAAAAATAGAAAAAAGTTAACTCATTCAATATATTAACCAACAATTTTGTCACATGCAACATATAAATTAGAGATCTGCAAAAGTAGACCAGGCATTTATCAATTATATTGAATTTTTTATGTAAAATAAAAATATTTGATTTTATTTAAAAAACTAGACGTCATATAACATGTCTTTTATTTAGAGTAATTATAAGAATTAATTTCTATATTTACATAAAATCGGGCTAGGCCGTAAAATTTATGGTTCAGGCCGGCGAAATTTTTTATAAAAAAATCTCCTTGGCTTGAAAAATAGGCCCGATGCAGATCACTAATATAAATAACGCATTCATCAAGCATCTTATTCGGCCTTTTTAATAGCCTTAATTTGGTGATAGGTGTAACATGCCTATTTAAGATTCTATGAATGTTGTTGCCATCCCAATTGTAGGGTTTCTTTCGGAATTTTTCACTTTCGCTTAATTTTAAAAGAGGTTAAACAAATAGGAGTTTTTTTAAAAAATTCGGAATTCTCAATATTTCAACAAATATTAATATTGAGAATTTTTTTTAAAATTATTATTTTATGTTAATTATTTATAGCTGGCTATGTAAGTAAGACAAGTAAAAAAAATTATATCATTATTCTCTTAAATATGTTACTTTTTGAAAAGTTTTTTATTTATATGATGTAATTTTTCAAATTATTATTTTAGAATATAAATAAACAATTAAACATACAAAAAAAGATTAAAACAATAGGAGAGGAAGACAGACTAAATTAATTTTTTTAAGAATATATTTTATATGGATTAAAAACTACTATACCCCGACCCTATATTTTAAAAATATTTTTGACTTAAATTTTTATTTGAGATATTACATTTTGTTAAATAAATTCTATATTTAATTCTTGTAAGAAACAAGACGCTAATATTCTTCTCATAATATTTTTGAAAGGTTTAATTTATGAAAAATAAACTCAGAAAACAACAGTAGGAATTTACGCTAGTTTAGTTCATTACAGAATCCTAGTACATATAATTTTGTTTATTAAACACCATTTAGTTAAAACATTTATTTTATATCTGACTTTGATAAAATTATTTTATAAATTTTAAAAAAAAATAAATAAGGACACATTTTATTTTACTATATTTAATATATAAATGATTATATTTTATTAATTTACATATCGTTTGGTATTACAGTTCAAACTTATTTAATTTTAAAAATGTACATTATATCCAAACGATTAATTTATAATTTAGCAATTGTATTTATATTGTCTGCCAAAAACATTAAATATAATTTTAAAAAATAATTATCAAAAATGAGATAAAAAAAAATTGATAAATGCTCAAAAATATAAAGATTAAAAATGACTTAAAGAGATTAAAAAGGTTAGAAATGTATGTAAAGATTACAATGAAAAAATCATAAAAAGAATATTGTATGTATGATGGAAAAAACATAAAGAATTGTTAAAAAAATGGACCTAAATTTATAAATTATTTTTAAAAATACAAAAGAATTATCAAAATGAGAAGAAAAATAAATTGAGAGAAGATATAGTAAGAAAAATAAAAGTAAAGAAAATCGCAAAAAGTTAGAAATAAATTGAGAAAAGATACAGTAAAAAACGTAAAGAAATCGCAAAAATTTAGAAATAAATTAAAAAAGAAAAATTTTAAAAAATTACGATTTTACTTTTTTGCTTGACACTTTCCCTTTCCTTTTTTAAGTGGGAATTGTTAAAAAAATGGACCTAAATTTATAAATTATTTTTAAAAATACAAAAGAAATATCAAAATGAGAAGAAAAATAAATTGAGAGAAGATATAGTAAGAAAAATAAAAGTAAAGAAAATCGCAAAAAGTTAGAAATAAATTGAGAAAAGATACAGTTAAAAAAACGTAAAGAAATCGTAAAAATTCAGAAATAAATTAAAAAAGAAAAATTTTAAAAAATTACGATTTTACTTTTTTGCTTGACACTTTCCTTTTCCTTTTGGGAATTTTCCTTTTTTGAGTGGGAATTGTTAAAAAAATGGACCTAAATTTATAAATTATTTTTAAAAATACAAAAGAAATATCAAAATGAGAAGAAAAATAAATTGGGAGAAGATATAGTAAGAAAAATAAAAGTAAAGAAAATCGCAAAAAGTTAGAAATAAATTGAGAAAAGATACAGTAAAAAAAACGTAAAGAAATCGCAAAAATTTAGAAATAAATTTTTTACTTTTTTGCTTGACACTTTCCCTTTCCTTTTGGGAATTTTCCTTTTTTGATCGGACTATTTCCTTTCTTTTTGGGAATTCTCCTTTTTCGTTTAGGCCTTTTAATTTTTTGATTGAACTTTTTCCTTTTATGATTGACCCTTTTCCTTTTTTAATAGGACCTTTTCCTTTTATGATTGAACTTTTCCTTTTTTGAATGAGAAATCCTGTATCTAGGGTACATCTTCACTGAGTTTTATTTTAACTTGTTAGCAATATTTATTTTAGCCCATTTATGTCAAAAAAATTTAAAAACAACGATTATGACAATTGTCACTTATCTATGGTACATCTTCACTAAAATTTTAATATAACATATTTACAATCTATATTTTTACCCACTTGCATAATAAAATTTCAAAAATCTTTAATGACAATTGTCACTTATCTAGGGTACATCTTCACTGAAATTTTATTTAAACATGTTAGCAATATTTATTTTAGCCCATTTAAGTCAAAAAACTTTAAAAACAACGATTATGACAATTGTCACTTATCTAGGGTACATCTTCACTGAAGTATTATATTAACATGTTAGCAATATTTACCTTAGCACATTTACGTCAAAGAAATTTAAAAATCTTTATAAACAACGATTATGACAATTGTCACTTTAGCGAGTCGGCTCCTTGATCGGCTTGAGTCGGAGCCGTTTTTTATGACTCGAGTCGCAAGTCGTAAGAACTCGACTTTTTAACAACACTAGGTATTTCTTAACAAAATAACTCAGTTACTGAATTCTTCAATTGCTAATTTTGGGGCAACCTCCTAGAGAGTTGTGGATTACACTTTTTAGTAGCTACAACTATATTTTTCATCCGCTTTCTCCTCTTAACTCTTATCCACATTTCTGCGAGTCATCAGAAGAATGAATAAATTAGGAAAAAGTTAAAGTTCTTTTTTATTTATTATATTATAAAATCAAATAATTATTACAAAGCAATTAAACTAAAGAATTGCCGAAATCATATAGATTTTATGTAGTTGTTGATTCAAGACCGTTTTTATTTTGCAATAATTTTAAAATGGTTGAAGCTAAATGTTCTAGATTTTTTATAACATAAAGATTGTCCTAAAGCAAAGTATGGAACCGGAACCAGAGCCCATTTTAAATTTCCAGGACAGTAATAATAATAATAGCGCAGATACTTTATTTAAATCTATATAGTTAAGATTTTGTATTTCATTTAAGAGTATTTACTGTTATTTTGAATTTTTTTTATTACTTTTCCAGAAACACTTTAAATAAATATTCAGAACCTGAACCTTTTTAAGTCCAGTTACCTCCCTGAAAGCTTCCTTAAAAAAATTAACGTCTTATATTTTTTTAATTTTAAAAATAATGTTTCACAGAAAAAATAAAGGTAGTCATTATTGTTAAGATAGAATAGTGTGTTTTAAAAACTTTTTTAAAAAAAATTAGATTTTGTGAAACTTTAGAAAAGGCATCTATAGGAACTATAGAATCGGGAAAATACACCAAAGATTTAGCAATATGTGTTAAAGGAGACATAAAAAAGTATTACATTTCATTCAAAAATTTATTTATACTAAATAAAATATCTGATAAAAATTATTTTTAAAATCAAATTATATGTTATTCGTACAAACGAGAATAAAATTATTTAATTTGAAAGAGGACGAATTCTAAATTATTCAAAATTTATATATCGATTTAAGGTTTACAGCTATACTATCATATTTTATAAGGTTTATGATCTTAATTGAGTTACTCTATGTTAATTTCGTAAACATGCATCTTCATATTTATATTATATTTAAAATATTTATTGCATAAAATGTAAATAGAGTCAATTCTAATGATTATTTGACTACAAACGATTTTTTGACTGAAATCAAGAAAAATCTGGATCATATGCTGAAGACAACAACCTAATGATTACCCAAGATCAAATATTTTTTAATATACTCAATAGTAATCATTTTTATGGTTCTGGCATTATTTTTAAAAATTATACAATATGAAATATATAAAATTTAATCATGTTTGGCGAATGGTATTATTATAATGATTGACGATTTGATGCAAGATTATTCCTAAATAAATAAGAGGGATTAAAAATATTTGTTGAATTCTCAATTAATTAAATTTTTATATCGTTAATTAAATTAAAAATTTTACCAAGTGAGACTGAAACATTAAGGCTCTCTACAAGCTGTAGATCGTTACATGAATATTTATCTGGAGATATGGTTAGGGGAACGTCGGAATAATTAGTAATTAGATCAGGAATTCCCTCACTTTCGTTGCCTATCAAATAATGCTTGAAATATTTATTAAATGCTATAAACCAAATATAATTAATGATGGTTTTTTTTGTAAACATGTTAGATTATTTGTAACCAATGTAGATTTATGATTGTTTTTTTTAAATGCTTGTGTTGTTATGATTTGCCATCCTAATTCTTTTAGCATCTAAATATTTCACATAATTAAATTTAATAAGATCGCTTGATTTCATTAAAAATAAACAAGATTATTTTGTTAACCACATTCGACTTTAGGATTATAAATATAAAAATATAATCGTCTGATATTACTGAATGTTTGTTGATTTTTGGCAGCGGTTTAAGATCAAAGATAATTAAGTTTAAATTGGAGAAGGGAAATAGTCCCATATTAGGAATTTGTAAAAATTTATGCTAAAAATTATCCTCTTATATGCCCATCACTTCGCCCTCCCCCCCCCCCCTTTTCATGAATAAACATAATAATTATGGTCTTAAAAGGTTAGATGTAGCGGATTTCGGTTTTTTTTTGAAGAAATTCATATAGGGTCGGTTTAAAATTTATAATGGTTTTTTTTTCGGTTCGTTCCGATTTTAATAAATTTGATTTTTTAAAAAAAGTAATCAAAACCATATATATATTATTATTAGAGAAAAATCTTTTTAATTAATATTCCTTATTTAACTTAACCATGAAGATTAAATTCTATTTATTTGCCTAATAAACAATAATTATTGATAGATATGAAGATAATGGCGATTTAATTGTATAAAAATTTTAATTTGAAAAGAAATCACGGATTAATTACCCACAATGATAATTAAATATTCAAAGTTAGATTAATAATTTAAAATTAATTACTTCTTAAAACCATTATGAACCGGTTCAAAATATCTATTATAGTTTGATTGGCTCTTTTTATATTTTCTTTAAAACCGTTCCGGTTTCGCGGTTCAGTCTGGTTCGAAACCCTAACATAAATGAAAAAAATATGCAAAAGATAATTGTTTTAGATGTAAAACCAAAATTTTTAAAAAAAAAGGAGTAAACCAATCAAAAAGGCCTAGTCTCCTAATTAGTGTTAATTTGCTTGGTCTTAAAATTTATGACTGCACTGGCCTGTTATGAGTACGAACCCGGGGTTCAGACCAGGGTTGCCAGGTCAAAATTTTCAAATTGTGGGAGAAATTTGGTATTATGCGGGAGAAATATGAAAATTGCAGTTGAAATATAAAAATTGCTAAAAAAATTTTTTATTTTGAATAGACTTAGTTATCCGCATATTGTTTTTTATAATTAGTTTATAAATACAAAGTCGGTAACTATTTTTCAAAATAAAATAACATCTTGAAAAAAACCAACGATCTTTTTTAAATATAAAAGAATGTAAACAAGATAAAATTTTATATTAATAAAACGATTTTAATTTTACAATTAAAAAAATATTTTATGCGAATGTCCAGCAAAACTACCGCAATTGTAAATCTACCGTGTGTGTGTATAACATTATAGGGATAGGCGCTTAATTATCACGTTTTAATATATAAGGTACTCCAAAAATAAGAAATAATACAGATGCAACTACAGTTGCGGCAATTGTAATCACATCTTGTATTACAACATTCACAGAGATACTTATCATCACAATGTTAGTAGAATCTTTTCCCCATAATATTTAACGACTCGAATATAAATGAAAACTATACTTGTAGAACAAAAATGAGCAAGGCTATCATCAATGTTTTAGGACCTAAATCCAGGAGGTCAATTCTTGACGATTTGAAAGATGGGCATACATATGCAATTCTAACAGATGCATCTAATAAAAGAAATATTAAAATATCTCCCTTGACCCTCTGCTAATTCAACAAAATTAAGGTCGTTTCAATAAAACTATTAAATTTTTCCCCCTCAAATAGTGAAAAATCCAAAGACATAGCTAACCATATAATGGTAAATATAGCAGATTCGAGATTATCAATAAATTGCATGTCAGCTTTCTGATCTGATAATGCCTCAGTGAATTTGGTAAAAACAGAGTGTATTTACAGAATTGAGTCAGCACAATGTTGGTTGCGATATGTTCCTAATACCCGCCATCGATAGAATTTTATAAACCTTTAAAAAATATTTCTTAAATAAAGATTATAAAAGCTGTCCTAACATCTTGAAAATTTTTCTCAATAATGAATGGCAGAGGTATATTTAGGAATGATTTCACATGTAGGAAATCTACTACATGCTGTTAATGTGTAGTTGCAATCAGAAGAATCTTAATATAGATTCACAAAATTATGCTGAAGATGTGTTAATCTTTACATTTAATAATTGACAATAAATCTTATAGCGCCATTGCTAAAACTTAATTATAATAATAGAACTAAATGTTTACCTCGTTATTGAGATATTTATAAAATTCCTGGCATGACATATATATTTGTTTTAGCTCGGCCTTAAAGCAATCATTTCTCTCCTTTTCCTAGGAAGTCCTCATCAGGCTAAAAATGCGCTCGGGTGAAGCATTAGAATGAGGTATGGAGAAGACATACTTGCATATTTTTTTCCAAGCATGGGGATTTATCGATACTACGAAAATATTCTACCCATTTCTTCTCTGCTTTTAGACCATCTAACTTTAAGTATTTTTACGAATCATAAAAAATAGAGAGAATTACAATCTCCTCAAACAAGATATCAATGTCTTTCGGTATTTTTAATATATTTATTAAATTATAAAAACCATCAATTGATGGTTTCTGTTCCAAGGTCATAATATTTATACATTTGTAAATAGTTATTAAAATCAAATTTTGATTGTAAATATTCTAAAATTGTCTTAATAAAAATATCTACTTCATTTAAAAATGTATTATTTAGAGTATTTTGAACATTTTAATATAATATTTTTAGCAATAGCGCCATAAAATTTATTATCAATTTTTAACTGTAGAGATGAACAGATCTGTAGCATGATTTGGTGAATCTTTTTTAATATATATGAAGTAGATTTCCTACATGTGAAACGAATCCCAAATATGCTTCTGCCATTTCATACTCGAAAAAATTTTTCAAAATTTTAGGACAGCTTTTAAAATCTCTATTTAAGAAGTATTTTTTTTAAGGTTTGTAAAATATTAAAATTCTATCTATGGCAGGTATTAATGACAACCACCTGATAGGTATATATCGCAACAACTCTCACTATTCCAAGTCAGACCACTTCATCAACTCTTTTAATTCATTAACTCTTTTAGTTGATAAATTAAATTCGTTAAAACATTTCATCACAATTATTTCTACATCCTCAGATAGTATATTCATTGCCTTCTTGCAAGAATTATGTAGTATATGCCATATACAGCCAATTGGTAATAATTCATTATTGTGCTGCCTCAATTCGGTAACTTTGGTTTTTGCCAAAATTTACAGAGGCATTGTCAGCGCAGAAAGCTGACATGCAAATCATTGGTAACTCTGAATCAGCTATATTTACCATTATGTGGCTAGCTACATTGTTGGATTTTTCAATATCCGAGGAAAAAATTTTAACAGTTTTATTGAAATGTTCTTATTCTTGTTGAAATAGCGAAGGATCGAGGGAAATGTTTTAATATTTCGTTAAATATCATGAGAAAAGGATTCGACCCACATTGTGATGATATGGCTCTGTGAATGTTAAATTACATGATAGATGTATACGATTTCCGCAAATGTAGTTGCATCTATATTATTTATTATTTTTGAGAATATTTTTGTATTACAATCGATGTAGATATACTCCCCTGTACTGACTTATATGAATGAAAGATTTATTATTGGATAAAAAATAAAACAGGATAGAAAGAAATTTACAAACTAGACATGTTTTTCAAATAAATATTTAAAATTTATTTTAAAAATATAAAATAATCAATTAATGTCTCTCAAAATTATTATTTATATATTAAAAACGTTTAACTACTTTAAAAAAAAAATGCGAGAGAAATTAAAAAAATGCGGTAGATTTTTGCTGGAGATTTCTAATTGCTGTAATTTTGCGGGAGAGAGATGTCTGCGTATAAACTAAAAAATTGCGGGAGTCTCCCGCTGATGGGAGGAGACATGGCAACCCTGGTCCAGACCCGTGGTTAAGACGAATAATATTATTCCAAATAGTTTTTAACAAAATCATTTACCAAAAGTAGGGAAGCAGCAAAACGCAATAGCGTTTTCTGGGGTTAGATAGTAAAGCCCTGTAAGCAACTCAGATTCAGGTTTAAAAAAATTTTACTCGGGTCCACCTAGGCCTTAGAAATACAATAAAAATAGGATTAAAATGAGTTATTATGTTGGTTAGCCGAGCGATTATTTCCAGCCATACGACTTTTGCAACGATTCGAAAAATCACTTTTTTTAAATAAAAGATGAATTAGAATTTTTCTGGGAATAGAACAAGAACAATTAGTACTAAATTTAACTTTATACAAAAATTAGAATGCTTTATATATTTAAATTTAATTATTTTCGAACTCAGGGCTTAAAGGAAGGTGTTAGTGCCTAAAAATCAATAGGTATGACTGATAGGGTTTTAAAATAAATTGAAATGGGTCCAGGCCAAAAAAAATAAAATTTGCAGAGCTCTACCTCGGGTAGTGTAAACATCTTTTATTTTATTACCCCATTCACATTTAATGCGAATTTGCGACGAAATTATTGATTATCAGGATTCAAAAGAAACATTAAATGTAATAAAGTGCTGAATTGTAAATTGCATACTTGCTTTGCTGCAATATATGATAATTTTTAAAACTAAAAACGATTGGTACAATAAAAAAAAATATTGTTATAGATCATTTAAACAATTATTTTTTTTAGTTTGTTTTTGAACAAAAATTTTAAATTTCCTTAACCCGCCTGCCCATAGTTTCAAATTTTCTTAACCCGCCCGCCTGCCCATTTTCGAAAAATTTTTTACCCGCCCATCCGCCCGCTTACTTAGATGGGTGGGCGGCGGGCCGAAACCCCGCCCAATGCAGACCTCTAGTCTGAACCCGGAGTTCCCTTATATATTTTATTGTGAATAATTTACATAATAATATTTTTATGCATAAAGAACGAATATCCATATTAGCATAGAAACAATTATCTTTAATAATATTTATATTTTTTAAAAATTGTTCTCTTCTAATAATCTGAAACTATTGTATTTAAACTAGGCTAATATTCCACTTTCTCCTAGAAAATTCAGGAATTAAACTTCTTTCCAATTTTTCTTCTCATGGCATAATTTTATCATTATCAGATCTTCTCTTGCAAAATTACCGTATATTATTGTTAGTGGCATTTAATAAGAGATTTCTCTGATAATGCCGAAATATTTTTATGTTATAGTTTATGATTTAGGAGAAATTTTTAAAAAGATGAGTGTCCGACTACATTTTTAAAATTTAAAATATTTTGAGAATATTAAGATACACAATAAAATAGATTTCATAAAAAGAACGATATTTTTATAAACCTAGTCATCAAATTCTAATTTTCTCGGCCGAGGCCTGATGAATAATTATGATAATATTTTTGGGTTTCCGGTTGTTATTTTTTTTTAATATGCTGAACAATTAATTAGGTAGTAATGTTAAAATTATGAAAATGTTTCTTTCTTTATCAGTTCCTATTAGTGCTTTGCTTTAACTGGTAGAGTAGCCAGTTTAAAAAACTATCAGCAACTAAGTCAGTCTTACGTCAATTTTTTAGAAAATTTTATCATATTTAATACTTTGTGAGTTATTTTAATCTGTACTGCCCGACCCGAATTTCTTTAAAATATATTATATATTAATTTACATAGATAATAATGGTAATTTAAAATATGTGGTTTTAAATCAAGAACCTAACAAGAATCAATAGGAAATCTATTATATTGTTTTCCCAATTCCTTAGTCACAATAATCGCAATTTCATCATCAGAGAATAAATGAATTAAGCTCTAAGATGTGTAGCCATTCAATTCTACTAACTACCTATGATGCTTAATATTGTTTCATGTATTGTTGTGATAAACTTTGGCCTTGACTTTTTGATTAAGCAATAAGAGAACACTTTATATAAATTTCTTATCAAAAAATGCTTACCACAATACTAATCCCTCACTAATTAAAATATAAATGATTTTCGAGGACTAATTATCTGTCTGGCTCAATGTATTAAATAAGACTTTTCTTAGCACCTTGCAAATTTAATTTATTTCAGCAAAAGCTTCACCAAAAATCTTTATTTATTTTTAAATTTTAGGTCTTCCTGTCCCAAATTTAATTGGAAAATATAACTAAACGCATATTTAAGCAATCAATTAATATAAAAATAATTTCTTTACCCTAATCCTAGATAAATCTATTTTATTGCTTAGAATTTTTTTTATTTCATTCTCGATATTGCAATTCATTTAAGATAATGCATTCGCGATCATTCGCAATAATGCATTCGCGAACATACACTTGCGATAAAGCATTCGTGTTAATGCATTCGCTGTAATAAATATGCTTTCACATTTTCGCGATAATGCATTCGCGATAAAGCTTTTGCTGCAATGCATTCGCAATAATGCTTACATTCGCGATAATTCATTTGCTATAATGTATTCGCTACAATACATTCGCGATAACACTTTTGCGATATTAGCGCTAATGCATTCGTTTTAATATTTTCGCTGTATTATATTCGCTATAATGCATTCGCTATAAAAATATTTCGCGTTAATCGACATTCATCAGATTATATTTGGGCTTTCGAAATACCTCCCAATCGCAATAGGTTCACTTTTGATAGCCAAAATTATTACAAAAAAAATAAAATCCGATTCTCAGTCCCTTCTGGGCAAATACCAATTAGGATGAGGAACTAAATGAGGCGTAGATATAGCCTCTCATTGCCTACGAATCTACCTTCAACATCCACTGATAAACTCCGTGTTATGCAAAATCGATTTCAAGAATGTCTTCAATACAATTTCGCGTTCCTCGGCACTCGAATCTTTTTACGATCCCCCCAATATTAGCGCTTCTAAACATTTGCTATAACAATAGCACTCCCCTCATTTTAAATGGTAACATTATTTTTCCGAAGAGGGAGAACAGGGTGACCCCCTTGGCCCTATTCTTCTGCTTAGCTATTCACAATATGATGAAAGATCTTAAATTTGATTCGACCTCGACCTTAACCTATGGTACCTAGATGATGGCACACTATGGGGTAATTAACATCAGATAAGCAAAGCCCTTCGATTAAAATCTTTTTACAATTAAACAAAACTAAAACAGAAATATGTTTCCTCAAACGGAGATGCCCTCTGATTTTTTAAAGATTACACTATTATTGAAAAAGAAGATATCCAACTCTTGGCCTCCCCATTACTAAATAATAATATATCGAATCGATAAAACATTTTCTGAAATGCAAAACTTAGAAACCATATTCACACCAACTTTTTTATATTAAAAAAATCTTTTTATCTATCTAAAATCTCGCATCTTTGCCACTCATCTTCCTCATTTACCACCTTAAAATTTTTCAATCAACATGATATTAGCTTAAAAACCTTTATAGAAAAATTACGTGCTAAACCAGGTGGTATCGACATAATTTCTTTAAAACTATTATTCCTATCTTTATTTATGTCAAATTGCCTATCCCTCAATTCAGCGATCTCATCATTTATAACACCCAATGATGATCTTTTAACCGCAGCAATCGAACGTTGGAATCAATTTACCCCAGACGGTTTTACATTTCCAACCGAAATATCCAACAAATCTATTATTGAACCCCTAATAAAGAATCTACAAAATAGCCTTAATCCTATTGATATTAACGATATACAATTATTACAATCCAACGATAAATGCGGATGGCACGAATGGCTCAAACAAAGCACTTCCAAGCCAAACCATAGATAATCTCTTTACCAACGAACAACTGAGAGTTTGGATTCTCACTTACACAACCACACACATGCCACCAATGAAATTTACCCGATCCTAACGCCCGACACAGCCTTAACTGCGCCCATAATCAAGGTCGCCACTCTGTCATAAATCAATCAACAAAAACATCCATAACGCATTTAATAAGGCAAAAAATCCCAACATTTTCGAACCAAGTAACCTTTCATTACAGGATGGTCTCAGACCCCCCTGATCCAACGGCAAATCCCTTATTTGGGACGCAACCTGCGTCTCTTCCTTTCTTTCCTTAATTAATTCTAGCCCTTTAAATACCGGGGAAAATAAAAAAATTATTAAATATTCAAATCTTAATAATTTTATATTTCAGCCAATAGTCATATTAACTAACGGTAATTTTTCCCAGTCAACATAGCCTTTTTTTTTAATTTTATTGGGGAAAATATTTAAAATAACAAACGAATACCGAGAATCTATATTTCTCAAACAAAAACTTCAACTTGAAACTTTTAAGCATAATTATACTTGTTTTTTTAGGAACACACTCATTTCTAAATTAAGCTCTTTTTAGAGCCTTCAATACTTATATATATATATTTATTTTTAATTATTAATTTTATAGTTAGTTATTTTTAATTAATATACTCAAAAAAAATAGAATCACGTTTATCTTATCGAGTTGATTTGAAAATATTTATTTAATTTTAAAAAAACTGGTAAATTAATGAAATTTAAAAAAAAAATACATTAATAAATCTCTAAGCTAGTCCTTAATTATGTGTTATTTTTAAAAAAATGAACAAAATGATATTTAGCTCTTTAAAAATATTTAGAAAATGTTAATATTAATTTGAAAAAATTTCATAATTTTGTAAGCTTTTGAAAAAACACTTTTTTTGACCAAACTATGAACCCCTACTAAAAAATTTCAATTAAAAAAAAATATATAGAATCATGTTTAGCTCTTCAAGAGGATTTAGAAATTGCTAACGTCAATTTAAAAAATTTTCTTAAAATTATCGAAAATTATTTTTTTGACTAAGCTACACATCCCTACACTAACCCTATTAAAAGGGCTCTTAAAAAAATTAATATAGAATCGTATTTAGCTTATTGAGATGACATAGAAAATGTTATTTTTAATTTTGAAAAAAAATTAGTAAAATACCAAAAACAACTTTTTGGATAAGTAAAATAATCATCTCCAACCAAGTCCTTCATCCTCAATAAGTGTGCACTATTTTTAAAAAATGAAGGCAGAATCATGTTTAGCTCATCAATGGGATTTAGGAATTATTAATAATCAAATGCCTCATTTGTAATGTACTAAGTTTTTAAAAAAGGGAACCTCCAACTTAGTTGAATCTTAGCTAGCATATTTTCAGAAAATTTTGAGGAGCTTATATTATTATTTTTTTAAATTTTATTATTTTACCAGTATTAAAAAAAACATTTTTTAAATCAACTTGATGAGAAAAATAATTTCTATATTAATATTATTAAATTTTAGCTTCTATAATAGGGGTATATCCACTTGCATAGTTTCTAGGGAAGCTTATTTTAGTCATTGTAGAAAGTAAATTTTGAATAATTTTAAAGATTATATTTATCCTTTATGATAAAAAATTAATAAAAATGGTTAAGTGGCATAAAAACATTTAATAAAACTTTTTTAAAAAAAATATTCAAGGATATAAAAAATTCCCAGTAAAAATAATTTTTTTTAAAATATTTTCAAAATCAGATTAAAAAATTTGCAAATTGAGCTATTGTTAAATGTACTCTCCTAAAATTACCTTTAGAAATTTATAAGAATCGTGAACTTGATAAATATCCATCACTTCCAAAGCTCCTGCACTTGCTTTACTTACTACATTTGTTAATGGGCATGAATTTTCTGATACAATGACCTTACCTATACCAAAATAAAAGCTTGATCTAAGTATTGCTCCTAAATTCATAGGATCCTAAATATTATAATTAAGCCAGATGTCATATTTTAAATTTGAGATAATATTTTTTAAGTATATTTTATAATGAAAATTGAATAACTTTAATATTGTATAAGTAAAGCCATATTTCAGCTTTATTCGGTAAAAATAGATCTGAAATTTGTAATGAAACAAATTTGACAGGACTAACATCTAAGACAATACCCTATTGATTAAAAATATAATTGAAAATATTTATTAATCAACTTGATGTGGTCTATTGCATGACAATTCATTTAATCTTTGTCTAGGCACATACTCTATAAGTGTATTTTGTAATAGAATAAGTATATTTTTTATTTTTATATTCTTTGAATTAGATATCTCGTTTTTTATATAAGCCTTATAAACTTTTCGCTTTTTTCTTAATAGTGCATTAAAAACGGAGTCCAATCCGTATAAAATATCGCCAATAATCCTTCCATGGCCTTTTTGCCTATATACTTTACCCTTCCCTAACCCAGGAAGACCTGAATTATATATGTATTCAGATAGATGGAGAAATTGGGTTGTAAATTTAAAAAAATTAAAATTGCATGCTCTGAATGATTGCATTTAATTTTCCAAGAACGGACAATAATATACGATTTGCCTAACTTTGATCGTAAAGTCATTTGATCGTAAATTTTGTCCATTTTTTTCTGATTGGTCTATTTAATCGCGGTAAATTAAAATCATTTAAAAACATTATGCTTAATACTGTAGCTGATAATTTAAGACTATTTTTTAAAAGAAGAAATGAATCATTACAAAGTATGATATATTTAATTTGATTTTTAAAAAAATATTTTTTTAGAGTGACACAAAATCATCTAACAGCTGAAGGTATATTTAATACTAAACTTATCTAGATTACATACATTAATTTAGATAAAGATTCTCAGTGTAATATAGATCAGAATATTAGCCAACCCAGTAGCTCATCTAGTAATCAATAAGTAACAAACAAAATAATTATTTTTGAATAAACAAGCTAATACAATTCAACAAATACAACCACAACATATACAGCCCCAAATATTACTAGAGATAACTTTTACCCTCCAATTTCAAGTAACAAAAATAATTGTATAAATTAATAAACATTTTTTTAGATATATTAACAAATGTGGCCCAAATACAAAGTTTTGCATTTAACCACACTAATAATCAAACTACTTTTACAAGTAGATTACAAATATTTTTTTTAAAATATATTTTAATATAATTAGACTTGGAAGACATTAACAATGCAGGAATTTTATTAGACTTACATAATTCCAACAATGAAAATTTAAGTAAATAAATTATATTATTACATTTACATAATCTGATTATTACATTTACATAATCTGATTATAAATAATTTATATTTTGACACTGTAATTTTTAGATATACAATAAATTCCAACTTCAAAAGGGAATTTGTGCTTGTATCATGATGGATAATATATAACAAAAGAAAAGAATATTCAAAATCTAATTACTCAATATAATTTAAAAATTATAAATAAATATTTATTTGTTTAAAACTTATGTATAATTATAATATAGATGTATAATAAAATATAATATTCTTACCAAATTATCAATTAATTTTATTTATAAGTTATAATTATCTAATAAATAATAAATTGTAATCATATTTATCCATTGCTTCTATTTCCATTATTTAAAGGAGTTCAAAATCAGTAGCTCTTCTTTCTTCATTATCTAATAAATAATAAATTTTAATCATATTTATCAGTTGCTTCTATTTCCATTATTTAAGGAGTTCAAAATCAGTAGCTCTTCTTTCTTCATTATCTAATAAATAATTGATATATGTTTATTAATAGGTATACATTATTACACTAATCTGATATAAAGAATTAGAAAAATATTTCATTATTTAAGGAGTTCAAAATCAGTAGCTCTTTTTTCATTATCTAATAAATAATAAATTTTTATCAGTTTATTAATAGGTATACATTGTAATCATATTTATAGTTGGTTCTATTTCCATCAATTAAAGGCATTCAAAATCAGTAGCTCTTCATTATCTAATAAATAATACATTGATATATGTTTATTAATAGGTATACATTATTACACTAATCTAATATAAAGAATTAGAAAAATATTTCCATTATTTAAAGGAGTTCAAAATCAGTAGCTCTTCTTTCTTCATTATCTAATAAATAATAAATTTTAATCATTTTTATCAGTTTATTAATAGGTATACATTGTAATCATATTTATAGTTGCTTCTATTTCCATCAATTAAAGGCATTCAAAATCAGTAGCTCTTCATTATCTAATAAATAATACATTGATATATGTTTATTAATAGGTATACATTATTACACTAATCTGATATAAAGAATTAGAAAAATATTTCCATTATTTAAAGGAGTTCAAAATCAGTAGCTCTTCTTTCTTCATTATCTAATAAATAATAAATTTTAATCATTTTTATCAGTTTATTAATAGGTATACGTTGTAATCATATTTATAGTTGCTTCTATTTCCATCAATTAAAGGCATTCAAAATCAGTACCTCTTCATTATCTAATAAATAATACATTGATATATGTTTATTAATAGGTATACATTACTACATTAATCTGATATAAAGAATTAGAAAAATTACGTGCATATAAATTCATATGAATTAAAAAATCGACCATTTTGACCTGAAATGGACAAAGGTACCATTTTGGTATCGTCCCTCTAATTCGTATGAAAATTTAGGAAATAGGTTTTTTGTCGTAATTGCAATAGTTCGTTCCCAAAAAAAAATAGTTCGTTCCCAAAGTAGTTTGTTCCCAAAATAATTATGAAAATCCAAGAGATTAATGCTAAATCGCAACAATTATCAATAAGAAAATTGTAAAGTATATATTATTTAATTTGCATATAATAATTAATTTTTTTAGAAAACTAGGCAAAACAAAGAGTGCATATAAACAAAGCTATTATTCAAATTCTAATAATCAAATGGTTCAATATAGTTTGATCAAATCAAAATACAACAATAATATTATCTATTCTAAGAAAAATTTAATTCAATTTGTACATTATCATGCAAAAAAAAGAGATTGCATTTTTATATATTAATTAAAATTTTTATTATGAGATATTTCATATAAATTTTGATAATGTTATATCAATGATATATTTATAATAAAGAGTTTGCTAAAATATTGTAAATTATCTGCTATTTATATCATTTTTAAACAAAGCTATTATTCAAATTCTAATAATCAAATGGTTCAATATAGTTTGATCAAATCAAAATACAACAATAATATTATCTATTCTAAGAAAAATTTAATTCAATTTATACATTATCATGCAAAAAAAAGAGATTGCATTTTTATATATTAATTAAAATTTTTATTATGAGATATTTCATATAAATTTTAATGTTATATCAAAGATATATTTATAATAAAGAGTTTGCTAAAATATTGTAAATTATCTGCTATTTATATCATTTTTAAACAAAGCTATTATTCAAATTCTAATAATCAAATGGTTCAATATAGTTTGATCAAATCAAAATACAACAATAATATTATCTATTCTAACAAAAATTTAATTCAATTTATACATTATCATGCAAAAAAAAGAGATTACATTTTTATATATTAACTAAAAATTTTATTATGAGATATTTCATATAAATTTTAATAATGTTATATCAAAGATATATTTATAATAAAGAGTTTGCTAAAATATTGTAAATTATCTGCTATTTATATCATTTTTAAACAAAGCTATTATACAAATTCTAATAATCAAATGGTTAGCAATAATATTATCTATTCTAAGAAAAATTTAATTCAATTTATACATTATCATGCAAAAAAAAGAGATTGCATTTTTATATATTAATTAAAAATTTTATTATGAGATATTTCATATAAATTTTAATGATGTTATATCAAAGATATATTTATAATACAATTGTGCTGTCTATTATATATTAATGAATCTAGAGCATTAAGAGTTTGCTAAAATATTGTAAATTATCTGCTATTTATTTTTTAATATATACTGTTCTTGTATTAATATAAATATTAATTACCATTTAGCCATTTAAATAATTTAAAATAAAAAGCATTTTTTAATTTATTTGCCAAATCTGTTACAACGTTTCAAAATTATACAATTTTATAATCGCTTCAAATATATTTGTGGCCATTTTAGGTCATTTGACGTTTTTTCACAAATGTTCATACGATCTAGTGGACCCTAACCACCATTTTACGATCAAAATAATACGATCAAAGGAGGCCCTCCCTAATATACAACGTCAGTCAACAATTATTAAACTACGCCTAAATTGAGGAGTATTAAATATGGCATTCCATATTATTTTAATCTGAATTTTTGTACATCTATTATTTCGCCTTAAATATATTAAATTTAAAAAAAAATTAATTCCACATTTGTTTAGAGTTATAAATACATAAATATTAATTTACATTTTTTAAAGTCTACCTTTTGTTTGATTTAATTATATTAAAGTAAAACATATGGTTTTGTGTTATTTTTTAATCCGAGGTTTTTCATACTTTTGGATTCCTTTATTAGAGTGTTCAGTAAACATAAATAAGATATTTAGGTTCCGGAGATCTTCCTAAATCCCGAGGTATATTTGAATTCCGAAAAGGAGGGTTGGTTTTATCCCCAATTATGTAAGATAAAACTAACACAACCCCCTTTTGCAAAAACGTTCCATTTTTTACGTTGCGCCAATTTTATTTTAATTCATAATTGCGTTTTTATTTTCTCTATAAATGGAACTAATTTTTATGTTTATCGTTATATATTTTTATACCTTTTGGTGAATTATAAATTTTTATACTAAATAATTTGTTTCACCTGATAAAATTTTAATAAAGTTTCTGTCTGTTAAATATTATTATGGCCCATACTCGATCGTATGGACTAACTACAGTGGCGTCGCTGGGGAAGGGGGGGCGCAGGGGCTCGAGCCCCCTGGAAAATTTGAATAGCCCCTTGAACCAAAAAAAAATATTTTTAATGGAATCTTAACCCCTTGAACTAAAAATAATTTTTTTTGATTGCCCCTGAAAGATTTCTTTTATAATTCTAATAAGTAAAATAACGATTTAATTTTATTATTTAAAAATTAATAAGACTACTAAATATTTATTAAATTAATACTATTTTAAATATTAGATTAAATTAATACATATAAATTATATTTTCACTATATCAGCTAACAATCAAATTTTGTGTTAAAAATAGAATATCAACATCACTCACTAAATATTAATTTAGCAAAATTATACATTTTATTATTCATCCTACAATAGATGTAATAAATTTGATATATTTTCTTTTTTACGTTAGGAAAGCTACTTTCTTTTCTTTTTCAAAAAACTTGAGTTAAATTTTTAATACAAGTATATTTTTGATGTAAATAACTCAAGGCTTCAATATATTTGCACAATTATTTCTTCCAAAGATTTTTAGTGTTTTTATTTTATCAATTTATCCAACATAATAAATTGATACTAGTTAACATCGTAAGTGTCATGGCTATTACTGCAAATTAACCAGCATCTATTATTTGTGTTGCTATGTAATTTAAGATTATTACTACAACGGCTGAGAGCATATGATTGCATATTTTAGATTAACAATAATGGTCAACTGTGTAATCGTTTATATATTATATATCATTTAAAAAGGATGATAATCTTTTAGAAATTTAATATCTCACAATAATTTTCTCGATTACTTATCTAGCTACCATCATGTCATCTAAAAGGAAGCTCTAACCACTTAATAGTTTTATGATGATTGGTCGTTTATATTCTCTTCTTCAAAAATTGTTGATTTGGTTTAGGCCTATAAATTTTTACTTATTAGTCCATTCTATAAATGTGTAAAATGGTAACAGAGAGTTACATTAGTTTGATAATCTTTTGTCAATGTAAGTTGCTAAGAATTATATTATTGCATTATGTGGTTTTTAAAAACTATTATCATTTGAGGCATATGTATGAATTAATTAATCATTTTCATCACTTGTAATTCTTTAGATGCAAATTTTTTTTATATCAGCAATCGAAAATATTTTATACTGTAATAAATAGATTTTGTATTAAAAAATTTTATTTTTAGAAATGTCTTTTATTGTTTTAATTATTTATATGCCAGTTTATTTTGCATGTATAATATAATATATGAGAAAATTAATAATCAGAATAATTGTTCAGAGTTAACAAATTTAAAAAAAAGTATAATATATTACATAAATTTTTTTTAGTTGAGCCCCCTGAGATTGTAAAGGCTAGCGACGCCCCTGACTAACTAGCGGGGTATCTCCAAATATACAACCTAATTTTAAAATAAATTTAAAAGGCTTAGAAAAATTAATATTAAAAAATTATACATTAAACCAGTTTAATTTGAATATAAATTATTTTGATATAATAGGATTAGCATTTGCGCAAAGCTCATCGTGTTGAGAAATATTGAGGGGAAAGAAACGGTTAATTATTGAAAAATTTAATAGTATATAAAGTGAATGTAATATTAAAAAATGTTGAAGGAATTTGGTTGTGGAATATCAGGGTTAAGAAAGATAGATTAGAGTTATGGGATATTTTAAAAATGATTTGATTTTGGTTGTAAATGCAGGCAAAAGTCTAATTTCAGTTAATATCATCATTAGAAATCTGCATTGAGCGAGGTTTAGTCCGCCCATCTAAATGACAGAACAAAATCTTACGAAAAGGCAGGCAGGTTTGGGCGGGCGGGTTACAAAGTTTTTAACTTTTTGTTATTTAAAATTATTTAATTATAAACATTAATAAAAATTATCCCAATTAACTTTTTTGGATATCTAAAATTAAAATGTTTTTTTTACGTGATATATGATATTAAGCGCACTAGCCCTAAAATGTCATTTATATTTATCAAAGATATATATACAACAGAGCAACGCTTGGTTCTCTCATGAAAAAACACATCTAACTGGGATAAAAGATGGGAAATAATTAAATAATTAAGTGGACCAATCACGTTTTTTGGGCAGGCACCTGTGCGCGCAAGAGGCGAAGCAGCCCCTTACTTAAACTCCCGCGAGAAAATAAAAAGAGAGATAAAAAGCCCATGCCCGATTAAAAATAAAACTTGATTATGGAAGGGTAATATTGGCTATATTAATTTTATTTAAATTAGATTTGAGAGAAACCTTAAAATTGAATAAATATAGACTAGGATTAAATAAATATAGTAACATAATGTTAGGATAATATTTTAAAATAAGGTTTAAAACTTACATTGAACAAAATAAATCGAATAACCATCCAATGAGTGTACAGTATTAGGTTTAGGAATATAAATATTAATGTTGTAATATTCAAATAAGAAAAATAAATAAAAAAGATATATTATTCAGATTAAATAAAGTTCAATATTTTAAGTTGGTTGTTTAAACACTATGTAATGAATAGTATAGAAAAGTATAAATATTTTATTTGTAAGATGATGATAATTACTATTTTGCGAACTTAATTTTTAATTTTAATTTATATTTATTTTATTTTATTTTTCTTTTATTTTGATTATGTTTTCATTTTATATTTAAGTATTTAATTAAGATTTAATATCATATTTTAGTTCTAACTTTTATTTATTTGACAATGATGTTGGA